TCATTAAACCATTTTCAGTTTTGGTTCTTGGTTTAATTGGTTCAACCGGTTAAACTGGTAAACCGACCGACCCAAACAACAAAGGGAGATTTGAGAGGGGCAAGCGGGCAGCGACCAATGTTCAACATTTTAACATTATTTTTTGCTCTTTTGACCATTTTTCACAACTTTTTAACATAAATATATTATATTTTTATCTTGAAAACTCATCAAATAATCTCAATTCTAATTCTCAAAACAAAATATATATGGAAAAACCAAGTAAGTAAGCAAGTAATACAAGTTTCAAATCCAAAAACAAATAGAAAAAGATATGTCTTAAAAAGTCTTAAATCCAAATAGATATCAATTCATTAGAACTACAAAATTAAAAGGACTAAATCATTATGATAAAAAGCTTTCACCAAATGAACTTTAGATAAACTATTTCCAGAATTAGTTATCATGTGGAGAAACGATTTCGAGGAAACAAATCCATAATTGCCAAAACATCTATGAACTTCAATCACAATTAAAAACAATAAATAAATTTTACTAACCTAGGAAGTTTAGCACAAGTTTCAGAAGCACAAGTAATGGCATTCAACTTCCCACACCAAGCCACAGCACTTAAAAGAACAAATAAAAAAAGAGCATCAGCCAAATTCACAAGCCAAAATCACAGTATCCAAACATGATTTTTCCAGCTCAAAAATCCTACCCTGAAATTCCTACACAACTCCAAAACGCTCATCTTACGCTGCAAATTGGACCTAGGCTGTTTCAGCCTAATACAAAACACAGTAACCGGACTCACTGTATCATCCTCCATTGAATTCTCCGGATTCTCCACCACACCTCCTCCCTCCTCTTCACCACCAGAAGAAACGGCCGCTGCCGGCTCAACGTCCGCCTTCTAATCCGCGTCAACCGACTCCACAACTAGCTCGTCGTCCGAGTCCTTGTTTCCCAAACACTGCAGAGAGGGAGGGGAGAGTCCATTAGCAGAAGGCAGAGAGCAGGTTCGGCGAGAGCAGATCAATAGCTGCAGAAAGCAGAGAGCAACGCCGGAGATCGGACACTGCAGAGAGGGAGGGGAGCACCAACGGTGTGGGAGAGGGTAGAGTAGAGAGGCAGAGAACTTGGGTTGGGAGAGGACCGGAGGAGGAGTCGAGCTTGAGGGTTTTCTAATTTGGTGTTTGATGATTTTGTATTTTTGTTGAAATTAAGGGTTAAAATCGGTATAACAAAGGATGGTGAAAGTGAAATTGGAAAAAATAAAAAGAAGATTGCATGAGAAATTGAATCGGTGGTTTTTTTGGTTCTACAGGTTTCACTGGTTCTAACCGATTTTGACATACAAACGGCTCTTCTATGTAAATCGAACCGTTTTCATTACTGAGTATTGATTCGATTGGTTCAATCGGTCGGTCCAATTTGGTTTTAAAAATCTTGAAAATTAGAATCTTAATTTTAAATGATATTGTTTCATTTAATTAAAATTTAATT